GGACAGTCAAGTACTCCGTCACTCACTTGTGTGACATGTGGTTTGATGTCAGGAAAGTCGAACAAGGAAGAGGGGCCCTTTCAGGGACAGAGCAGGATGAGGGTGGGCAACCGGTCCTAAATAAGCTGCTCTGTACATTAGTTTGTTAGTTATCATGTGTATTTATAATCACAATCTTAAAGATGCAGCATGGTCATTGGTCAGCTGCGTTACCACTCTACAGAAATGCAAATTAAACTAAAAAGAGTGAAGTCATTATTTGATATGTGTATTTTACATATCACATGGTTGAATAGTACTTGAATTTTTTAAAACATAACATGTATATCATGCATAAAAATGCATCAAAATCACTTATCACTACAAGAAATATTCTTGCTTAATCATTCATAATGTCCCTGTGAAAATGCATTAAAATATTATTGGCGGATTCCTTCATACACACATACAGTAGAACCTCTAGTCTAATTAGTAAGTGAAGTTTTGGCATCAGTCCAGTAGGCGAAATAAATCAGACGACAAAAACACGGGACAGAAATCTACTGATGAAAATTAACATTAAAGCTGGTGGAAAAGCATGATTTTTAGTACGGAACTGACTTCTTATTAAACCGTTCCCTTTTCTTGGGACATTAAGGAAAAAAGGTTACTATAGAAGGAGGCGGAGCTGGGCTCCGGCAAGGTGTGAAGCCATGGGGGGGTCCAGCCCACACACACCTCAGGCAGAATCTCCCGACTCCTGACTTTCAGACATCCTGTGTTCTTGCAGCCCACCTAACATTTCCCACGTCTGAGGTGTCTCTCCATCGGTACTAACAGCTGGCTTAGGGAGTCCTCTCGGAAAAAGAGGAATCCGTGACAGGTGTAGCAGCTGTAATCTGTACCACATGAAATAAACTCTGATTTATACAGCAAGCAATCCAGCAGTTAGAGGAATGTGATGCTGAGTGAAATTAGAGGCAGGATATGCGGAAATGAACAGGGCCACCAGTAGGGGAAGGATTTGTCTGGGTAGCAGCACCTCTGTGCTTTCAAGACGGAACATAAAGCAGTGAAGAACAGTCCAGCCCTGTCCCTCTCTGACGGAGCCGGGGACACGGTGGACTCACATCTCTATGGGTCACTGAGGAGGAAGGGATCTTACAAACTGGCCACAAACTGCTAGCAGGATGTACTGCATCTCACCAGCATATGCTCCCCAAACCAGCAGCTCAGGATGAATATATACGGTGCGTATTTCCAAAACGCGTGTTAGGAAGTACAGTACTACATACGAAACGTCTGTTCAGAGTCATGGGATTCTGTTGGCTTTGCTTGTCCATCATTTCCAAACAGCGTGCAACGATAATGCGCTTGCAGGGACCACTGCAGGGCACCCACACGAGGGCACGTGCCCACGCTACTGTGCTTCCAGGTCTCGCCATCCCTTTGCCGGGACGGAGGATGTGCAGATGATACCCATATCACACAGCTGCCATTCGCAGAACCCTAACTAAAGATGTCCAACACCAGGCTTCACCATCCTGTTAGGGAACCATGTGATTTCAGGTGCCAGGGCACTCACTACAAAATATCGCTTGATGCAACGTGACCCTCTTTTGTGAAACTGACCCTTATGAGCAAAGAGGTGCCAGGTTGGACTAACTGCAGCTGTCCAGCCCTTAAACAAGCAAATTTTAAATTAAGTGTTTCTAGGGGGGGTTCACGGGCCCGCCTGCTAAGTGGCTGTTTTATTGGGTAATAAGACTAGTTTAATGACCGCTGGAACACGTTTAGGTAAGCTTTTCATTACGCGCATGGTACCGACGGTCTGAATCACCGCGGCCAGCTCGTTTGAATCAGTTAACCGTAATTCACCGTATCATTGTATTTGCGACTGTAGTGTCGTTAACAATCCTCATAGATTAATACATACATGCAGACTGAAACACTATGTACTGTATGTAAACGCACTGATGGATGCACTTTGTACCGTGGTTCTCCACCGTCGGTTCCAGTGGATATTGAGTTTTTTCTTAAAAGCAAATTCTTCTTAAAATATATCAAATTTGGGTTCTTCGGCACGCAGTATGCCCCGCTGCTAGGGCATGTATACTTATTATGTGGCATAAGAGCCCTACATAAGATGCTAAAACGACCTCCAGAGATTATGCTGTACCCATAGCCTAAATACATACTGATTCGTATATGGATGTTTTTGTGCAGTTATATCAACGCCGTAAATAACTCCATGGCCAGTCTGAGAAAAGACACTTGGCTAAATTTGAAAGGTCTGTCTTCAAAGCGGACTTACGCAACCATCCAGCTGATTATGATATTCGCATAACCGCGGAAAATGACGATATGAAACCGCAAATCTACAGCAGGAAACATCGAAACATCCCATTTCCGACATGATTTCTAAAGTAGCTCACTGTGAGTATATTTAGCGATACATAACTGCAGTGTTATTACAAGACGCACAGTTATTGTGAGATGGTGAATGACAGCAAGGGACCGATTTGAATGCCAACCAGGTATGGCCGAAATCCCCAACACGTACGAGATTAATACGAGGAAGCATCTACATGCAAATAAATCAACGAGCACGCACGGCTTACTTTAAGGCACGGGACGGGCGAAGTAGGTTAACTACTTTCCGTTTGCGTGCTTTCTGGATACAATTAAGTGATAAATACTCATTCAAACGTAAAAGGTGATTTTGCTTTGATCATTACATTGCCGTCACATATGGGGTTTTTCTTCTGTGCAATTGATTTATAACAATCCGCCTTTTCGGCCACCCTCTTTCAGAGGTACAGAAACACGCTTCATCGTGCCGCGTCCGTAACGCCCGTCTCCACCAACCCCCCCGTGTGACCAAATGTGGATTTGGGCAGATCCCCTACGAACGCTGAGAGATGTCTGGTGAGAAACCACTACCAAAAACAAATCGTAAACTGCAGTGCGGCAACGACGGCTGATATTTAAGAATAATGTGACGTGATGTGGGTGAATATCTGATTGACATCGAAGTGCAGAGAAAGGGACCGCTAAAAGTGCTTTCCGAAAATACATCTGCCTTTAAATAAGTTCCCAGTCTTCCAGACAGCTTCATATAGAATAGAATGTTGTTACACTTTAATTTCTGGGCTATTGCGGGTCAGGACTGAAAAGTATAAAACACACGAAAGCCAGATACCACTGTAACACATCACTGTGGACAGTAAGCGATTATTGACGCAAAATGTGTTGTTTACATTAATAAATAAAAACTACTGGTATGAAAGTTAAATGATAACACATAGGCCTGTTGTTAATGTTACTTAAAGTAATTGCGCTTACCTCGTTTAAACATGTTGGAGGTCGTGTCTGTGTCTTGTGGTCGTAAATTCTGATATTCCAGTTACGCTGTGTGACTCCCAGTTTCGACGCTTAGTCTAAATGTGTCGTTGACAATTAAAAGTGGAGTCCCGATTCTCCCGATGTTTCTGTCTTCTATTTCTTCTCGACGAATCTTTATTTTTGTAACATTTGGTCTTATCGGATCAAAACCCCCGGAAGTCCCAGGTCATAATACTTATCCAAGGAACTGCAAACACTCCGTAGCGGACCGACACACATAGCGATAAATACGTCCTTCGCAAAATGTATCATTTCCCAAGAAATATATGTTGCCCTTACATTCACAAGGGCGTCTTGGGTCTCGATGCAGTCCACATCATGTCTCTCTCACACTCGCGAAATATAAGTAAATGCAAAAATAAATCTATTTAGGCTATTTCGCCTTGAACGCTGTCTGCGCATATCCAGAAACTGGAATGGGTGTTTAAAAAACAGAAATTCGAGGCGTTCTAAACCAGTCCATTGATCTATTCAAATTAAATTATAAACCAGGCATTGAAAAACGCAAAATGCTGCCGGTTTAAAATGTTCCTTATCTCAAACTGACCCAGACGCACTTCATGTCTTCAAATCCATCCAACGACGGTGATCCCACGATCATTATTATTTTTCTGCGCATTTTCCGTTTAAAGCACATTCGCTTTAATTACAAACAGACTTGGTCCGCACTTGGCAGGAGAAAAAGGCAGCATTGCGTGCGACGGCGCTTCGCTGTTTTCCTGCGCCGTCCCTTCGGGATGCTCCAACTCCGTCTGTCACTCGTGGAGACCGGCTACTTTCACTCTCAGTGTGCTACAATATGTGAGGAGTGTAAAAAGGAAAACACGTCCCTCCACCTCATCGCTGCCCCTCCCTTTTCCTCGCTCCACAGGGTGGCCTATAGTCTTAGATCGTAGTGCACCCGTAACCTCTCCCGTTCCGACGGGGGGAAGAAGTGCCTGCAAGACCAATGAAAAACTATTGACTAATTTTAAATTTTGCTATAACATTTATTTTTGTTCTCCGTCCGTTTTTTTTTTTTGATACAAACTTTATTATATTACCGACAGCCACACTTGACTTCAAAATAATACTACTTTGCGTTTCATAATAAAGTGACCTTTTACGTGATGATTAAAAACCTGGTGTTATGCCAACCTAATGTTCAGCATGCTCATCAGTAACGCTCGCTATGATTGCGCGTACTTTTAATAAGCCACTACCATTCATCATCCTAGAAACAGACCGCCTTCCTCCTCCGCTCCAATGCGCGCTTCCCAGCAGTCCTGCCAGAAACAAAAAGACTCCACCACCGTTCACACTGTACAAAATAGTTCTCATTTTCCTCCACCTACAAAATATCAACCGATTCTCCCCGCAAACTGGTTTTTCTGCGGGTGACGCGCCCTCTTAAAGGTCCCTGTCACGCACCTCCCTCTCGCTTTTCCGAGGAAAGGGGGGCAGCGATGGAAGCAGACTAATATGGATGTTAAATAAAAGAAATACGCATACGTACTTCATGCGATCATTTAAGAGCGTGATAATTTAACTGAGATTATGATTTAGACTTTAACTTTAATACTGGATTTTATTTCTTATTATAATCTGAAATAAACGTCGGTATGATTAAAAGCATGTTAAATGAGTTAATCTGTTTACTTTAAAGAAAAAGATTTTCGGCATTCGTGTCTTAATTTGTGCCCTTACAAAAAATGTATATGATTTTGTTGGATTTTATTCATAATGTACTATAGTTTTGATGATTTGGCATCAATTAATTCATGATTGGATCATTGCGGCGAGTGACATTGTATGACTCAGTTGTTCATCTGGAGACAACAAGTTGTGCCTTCAACACTTTCGCCCCCAGTATAATCAGGCCAAGAAGACTTCAGAAAAGAGGCTTCCACGATGGCCACGGTTTATCCGAAAAGTCTTCTTGTAATTTCGCAATGCCGAGAGCTACTCTGTGAGGTAACCACCGTATAATGTATTTAATTTACCTATCCGGACTAACGCTGGCAGCTCAGTCAGCAAATTTGTGGCTGCGATTAATTTATTTTTTCCTATACTGACCGATTTTTTTTAGTAATGTTCATTTTGCCTGCATGCGCGCACCTAAAAATAGATTTGTAGAAAAAGTATTGGGATTTTGTATGACAGTCCATGGCTAACGTTATTTAACGTGGTTTTTGTGGACTGTATCGGATAGGACTATAGTATAAATAATGATAAATCATATAGGTTGTTAAAGGAAAACGGCACTCCTGCTCAGTCTGGTCGGAGCCCATGTGACACAATAAGCCAGCTTCACCGCGGGCGCCCCATCCAAGACAAAGTAAAAGTGGTTTGCTAAGTCGGTGCCCTCTTAGAAGATGGCGCCCTAGGCAGGGCTTGTTGCCTTATGGGATGAAAGGTACTGTTCCAGGTGTATTACTTCGATTAGTATGAGGTAGTAGAAGCTGGGAACACCCTAATCTGACTGTTATAGGTTACCTCTACAATCAGTCAGGAAAAGCTGAGCTGTGGTCATAGTCTGTGAATTACCAGTAGCAAACTGCAGAGCATATCGACCTCCTTTGGAAGCTGCTGCTTCAGGATGTCTCCCATATTGGCAAAAATGCAGTGCGAGTTGAATCTCCACCAGCCAAGGCCGGCTCCTGCTGCAGGCAGAATCAGCAGCCGCCCGGGAGCCCTCCAGTGAAATGAGCAACGATTCTCTTGGAAGAAAACAGGGGCTCTGACACATCTGGAATATTATGGGATAGCCCTGGGTTGGGGGCCCAACATGATATGCTTTTATGGGGCCCTAAATCTCTAGCAGTGCCGCTCATTACCACAAAAATACAAAACCAATTAAAAAAATTACAAAAAATACAAAATCCATCCATCCATCCATCCATCCATCTTGTAAAAACTCATCCAGATCTCAGTCACAAGACAAACCAATTCCTTAAATTACAAATATCAGCCTCCATTCTTGCAATCATGAGGAAACGTTTCAGTTTGTGATGACTTGTTTACATTTCTGTGACAGGTTGGTGTAGCCATGGCTGACAGCTGTCAGCGCCGTGCTCAGGCTGGGTCTCCTGCCCTTGGCCCTGACAGAATCGCTGCGGCTGAGGCTCCGGCAGGGATATCCGTCCCGGTGTCACAAGGGCCGCAAAGCACCAGAGGTGAAGGTGGCACAGAGGCCGTCGTGCTTCAGGCTGATGTTTGCAAACATGTCACAGCGGAGTGAGACAGTGCGCAGCGTCGGGGGGACAGGATACGAGGAAAAGAAAAGGAGGGGGGGGGGAACAATGCCAGATTCACTTCCTACACAGATAAACAAAGCTGTGTTTATCTAGAAGAGGTCCTGTCAATAAAGCAAATACGTGAGACTGGCAATGAAAAAAACAGCATGTGAAAGAAAAGGAGAAACAGATACGGGGAGGGGTGCGGGGGGAGAACTGGGGGGAGTCAAAGTGGCAAAGGATACAGGGACAAGGACAAGGTGATATTTAATGCTGCAGGACAGGTGATGGATGGGAGCCCCCCCCCCGTGCCCTGCCATGCCCCGCCCAGCCCCTGTGCTGCGTAGCGGGGGCCTACACTGACAAGCACACGGGCAGAGCTTCCACTAGCGGCCCCCCAGGGACGCACTGCACCATCACAGCCAATTAGTCTCAATTAGAGCTGTTACCATGGTGACCCAGACCTTGAGAGGCAATGCGATTTTCACACAATTCCCCCCTCATTCCTGTGCACTTTGCTCTATATTCAGAACTCATCTGGCAGCACAAAGCCCGGCCGGTGACTTTTAGTGGCCGTGACTGATGTCCCGTGCGTGGGGGCTCGTGTTCAGTGCTGGGAGCACTCTCTCTCTCTCCCGGCATGTGAATGCAAACGGCGGGCTCATTACAACTTGGCATGCTGAAGAGCACGCAAAGGTCAGCAGAGATCAGCTCCAACATGGCTGCCGATGGAGGAGATAAAGCATTAAGGCCATTGATGTGGGAAACAACAAAATCAAATGTGCTTTAAAAGATGGCGCACAATGACAGGAGTCACACAAATCAATGAAATGCAGTTCAAAGCCACCTTGATCTGAGTTATTAAGCGGCACACACTCAGGATGTGATTACACTGGTGACACACTCACAGAGCCTGGCATCTGCTCACAGTGCATCACCTGAAGCCCTGCCGTGATTGTAATTTACCTTGACTCCCTTTCCTTTCTAATCTGATTTCAAACCGTTTTTGCCAGTAATACCAGTGTGTGATGCTATAAGATTGCTGATCAACGTCAATCCATTCACATCTATACAGAAGCACAGCATACGGACAGAGCCATGCTTGTGTCAAAGAGTAGTCTTCCTTTATGCTTGAGGACGTGTTTTAAAAGCCTGTGGAAACTGCAGTGTAGAAACAGTGAGCAGAATATATCCCTGCATGAGCTCCATGTGGCTGATCTGACTGCACCAAGGACTGTTCATGAAGACCGGCACGTCTGACTCTCTCCATGGTTTGGTGCTTAGCTGCTCCTCCAAGAAGCACTTTGACACCACGGAAACAAATTAATCACTTATATTTCTGTGGCATTAAGGTAAATTTGCATTTCATAAACACTGCTAATTGCTTTGATTAAAAAGCAGTCAACTACAATGGCAGCTTTCCTTAGGGCGTCACTGAAGCTATTGAGTGGTAAAATATGGAAATCAGATGTGAGATCCCGGTGCCTTGATGTTTAGGCCATGAATGGTAACATGTAGCACAATCCTGGCTGAATTTAAACATTCACCTCTTCAAACAACTAAATTCAAAGACATTTTTCATCTTAAAACATCAAAAATATATATGTTGAAAAAAGCAACAAGGCTTGCTTGTTGGCCTCTGTCTTGGTACATCTTGTCTCCACTCCTGTTATCAAGGTGCCGTTGTGGTTGGAAGAGCGTTGGATTTGGCGAGTTAGAGGTGATATCCCTGCTTCTCGCTTTGTCCAGCTTGGGCGGCCACTGTGCACTTGAGTGGCTCACTGCTAAGTGTGAAGCGACAAATCAGAAGCCATGAGACTCTCAGAAAAGAGTGGATTGCTCTTTTCCAGTGAGAGGGGAGAATCTGCCCTAATGACGGGGTTTATAGACCTGAGGATCTTGTCATGAGTGGCAGTGAGATGGAGCGTCACTTTGACAGACAGAAGTGTTTGCCGGGTGCAGTGTGGAGGGCATTGAATACACTGTAAAAAATGTCCGTGAAATTAACTGAGAAATTCTGTAAAATAACGACATAAAAAAACTGTAAAAGGAAAAACAATAGAGCAGCGTATATTTGACATTAAGATTTTGTAAAATACTTAACAAAAAACAACTGTTCATTTTTCAGTAAAAATATGTTTAAAAAAAATATTTTTTTGGTAGAGTTAACAAATTACTGTAGTTTAAACGCAAACAAACTGTAATATAAAAACCAGTACAATACAGTTAAAATTACACCATAACGGTGTGAAAATAATATTTTTAAAATCAGGTCAACTTTGTTTATACTGAAAGAAACCGTGTTACATTTTACAAATTAATATTCTGTGCTTTACAGATGAGAAACAGTAAAACTTTAAATGATATATCAACACTTGCTTTTTGCTACGTGCGTTACGAACCAACAAGAAATAGTCCACACAACTCAGGATTTTCTGGTTTGTCAGACAGCTTTTGACGGTACATTCGGGGCTACCGTCAGAACTTCACCTCATGGCAACACCTCTGGTCCGTTGATAAGAAGGCATTTTTCCACTGAGATGATAAAAAATACTGCAGCACCGGCGCTCATGTCCCAGCATGCCCCGCGCGCATTTGTAAATAGCCCTTGTATTGTTGTTGTTATTGCTAATGGTTATATTTCCTTATTGTCGCGTGTGTTTACCTGTGTCTTATGTGTACCCTGTCCGATCCTCGTGTGTAATTAGCATCCATAAATCTCCCAACGTGTATGCGTCTTACAGTTGAGCGTCTGACAACCTCGTGTTTCCTGTGTATAATTGGTTTGGTGATCTTTGGGTGCCTGATGTGGTTTTTTTCAGGACTACTAATAAAGAGCGTGTTACCTCGGCAAGAAAGTGCTGGCAGCTGTGGTTACCAGAGTAATTCTGTAAAATATTCGTTAAGAATATAAGCAGCTTTGTAAAAAACTCACCAGAACAATTTCACATACCAGAACTCTAACGTTTTACATAGTTAGTTAATTTGTAGATTCAACATCTTCTTTCTGTTAATTTAGCAGGGCTATGCTGCTGTTGTACCAGTTATTTCAGTATAATTTACATCTAATCGTTGTTTATTCTACACTGAAATCAAGTAAACTTTACATGTAGTTGGTGGTTGTTTTACATTGAAATCCAGTACAATTTATAGATGTTTCTGTAAAGTTGTTTACACGTGTACAGTATTTTTTACAGAATAATTCTGGTAACCACAGCTGCCAGCTTTTTTCCGTAAAAACAAGGGGATTTTTTTTACAGTGTAGCTTAGTCAGTAGGTGAAACTCACTGTTTGCTGCGCAATGTCTGAGCCTGTCCTCAGCTACGGTCAGGCTGTCAGAGGGGCATGGATGCTCTGGCAGATTCAGGGGGGCCAGTGCTCTCAGGGACCCCAAAATTTACTGTGGGTGGCAGAGGGGGTGCATTCAGGAGGGACCTTATATGAGGGCCCAAGATGACATTTTGTCAGGGGGGGCAGAATTTCTAGCTACACCTTTGCCTCTAGTCATAAACGGTGGATAATGACTAAATGAAAGAGACTGATATTGCATATGTAGCTGAAATGAGGTTTCAGTGCGGATTTCCAAGCTCACTGACAACAGGTTTGGGGATCTGCAGGGACCTTGAAACAGAGTCACTGCTCCCTTTTCCTCTGATCTGAATATACCCCCCTGGGCGTAGGGCCTGGCGCAGATCTGTGAACACCTGCGAATGCCCTCTGCAAGGGGGGGTCTGGTCTGACCTCTTTGCCATGCAGCCACTGTGACCCTCAGCAGGAGGCACTGAGGGAAGAAGATGAAGAAATCTGGACCTTTACTTCTTCTTTTGTTATGCTAGGGGGTTCCTAAATCATGCACACACTCCGAGGCGCACACAGAACAGCAGCAGCAGCAACAGAAGGTGATAAGGACAGCGAAAATATTGTTATTATACCTTACAGGGAACAAACAAGTGATGAGAATGAATGAGGCTTCTTAGCCTTGACGGGTATTGAACTATATTACGCTTATGTGAAGACTATGAATATCTTAGCGTAATAAGTAAATTGGAGTAAACGCTTTGACAGTTCGATAGTTACGGCGGTCGATTAGTTTCCCTTTCGCTCGATCAGTAATGCCTTTCGCTCAGCGCGTGTCATTATTTGGAAAATGGCGGCCCCCGTGGAGGACACGCATGTTGTGACTGCGAAAAAAACAGGTTGTTGTTGTTGTCTGTGTTTAAATGTCAAGTAACGTGAATTCGCAAACAAATTTGAAAAATAAAGGAAGTTTCGCCTCAAGATAATTCTTTATAATTCAGATAATAGCAGAAACTAAGGGGTTGCGATGACGTACTGTGATGGTATGATGATTAACTATAATTTTCAATAGTATTATCCCATATAATATACTAAATTGTCATTATGAAACAAGATTTAAAAAGAGCGTGTCTGCGTAAGTAATCATCCATAATGATGGGGCGTGATTTTAATCTTCCGTACAGATTCCGTACAGATTTTAATGCCTGACATACCTCTCAAACATTTATGCGCCTACAAAAAGATTTTAAAATAACCACTTCACACCTTTATCTCAATTTACCTTTATTTTGTTAAAGCAACTCGAACCCCCATAGTCGCCTCTGTTCAGAGATGCTCTAGGTTGTCTCTGCGTTGAAAGCAGTTTAGCTACAAATGTAAACCATTCTTAAACTGGCTGTCGGCACCTAAATGCTCATCAGATCATTCTCGCCCGATAAATATACCAATTAGCTGCCGCGATGTTGTTGTTGTTGTGGAAACAGAAAATCGGCGTATAAAAGTGCCAAAAGGTATCGCTAACCTGGGCTTCTGACATTCTGAAATTAAAAATGTGTAATTTATTTGAATCGCGTGGAAATGTTTTACAGGTGAAGAAAAAATAATCAGTGATAGTAATCAGAATTTTATCAGTAGGTGCGTGACCAATTTATTAGGACGCCAAATTCTTAGTAGTATGCTTTTCGTTACCCATGGAATTTGTATGATAAAAGTTACCACTTTATCTGAGGTATTTCTGGGAATGTGATATTTCTGGAAATTTTGATACAGGCATCAAACTGGTATTGTTTGCTGACAAATTTTGCATGTAACTCTCCGGCTTTGATTCAGTGCTTTACCTTGATGCCAAAGATGGGTGATGTAACAGGCTGTCATGAATCAGTCTGACAGTTATAGCCCTCTGGTGTGAACAGAATTACAGGCGGTAGGACGTTCAGCATTCATGACTGATATGGCATCACTGCTAAAGTTCCTTGCAATTTAATAAGTTTCTGTTGTCTTATTATCACACATTCTGAGCATGGTGCAAAAATTACTTTATGCATGACAGCATGTTTCTTGTGTGAGTTTTGCACAAGCCCTGTAATTGCCCAGTGATGTCAGCATCCCCTGGCTTCTTGCATTTGTTCAAAACATCCCACATGCTATTTATGGAAAAACTTTTTCTCCTCCCAATTTTAGTACGAGGACCCCGACGGGTGGCCAACCAGATTCCTGAGGAGATCTTGAAAGACCCCGACCTTCAGCATGCTATCCGCGCCCTGCCCGAAAATTACAACTTTGAGATCCATAAAACAGTGTGGAGGGTGAGACAGGCCAAGGCAAAGAGAGGTGAGTAAGGTGCCAAGGTATCGCAGGTTTAACGCCTTTTAACTCGGCATGCCACACCATGCTCGTGTAACGTACTCATCCTTGTAACAATGCGACGATGCTTGTAACCGATACCATGCAGTGACGTATCAGTGATACAGGTAACAAGCAAAATAAACTGGAGTACAGAATGTCTGCAGTGTGGAAGTACTTCAGAATTAACAACAAAAACCAAAGCGTAGTGGACAACATACTGTGCTCTGCTAAAATTATCAAGAGGAGCCACAAACAAGTTTATACAAGAATTTAATCACACATCAGTTTGGGCATATCTCGATAGTTATAGGAGAGGCAAGACATTAAGTTCATTACTGTAACGTACAGCAAATAATAACGTAAATATAAAGTCACAGCACTTTATAATAAAATGCATCTGCTGACATTCTGCTACATCCGCTTTCAGGCGTCTCTCCATCAGTGTATATTAATTATGGACATTAACGGGGTGGCTGGTAACAAAGTACATTTACCTGAGTACTATACTTAAGTGCATATTTCAAGTATCTATTTTATTTCAGTATAAATCTTTTGGGAAATTTACAACTTTTACTCCATTATATTTGAAATTCAATTACTGTAATTTTGTCCGTACTCCATTTCTATGGAGTTTCTCATTGCTCATTACTCTGAAGCATCGTTTGAAGTGAGTCGGCGAATTTTCTGTTCTAAAACGCGGTAGGCTGTGTTGTGTTCGTCACAGGGGAAAAACCCATCTCAATAAGCTACTCCTCTGCTGTCAGTCAGGTTGCTGCTGGGCAGCTTGAGGTGTGTAACTGGGTTGATTGTTTTATTTATTTTTTAATTTTTTGAGGTAGTTGCATCTACACCAATTCCACTGTCTGTCTGATGCACGTATGTGCAGGAACACACACAGACGCATACACAGACACACATATACAGACATGCACATACATACACAGTCATGCACACAGATAAACAGACACATTCACAGACTACCAGAGCTGTGTCAGAACACTACCATGCTGTTTTGTTGGAGTAGGGTGTTAAAATTAAAAAGAAAACAGCAATGGCTGTCCTTTTGTTGAGTCACTTGTGTTTCTGTAGTCATTGTATCATATTCCATAAGCTTTTTATTCTACGGGTTCTACAAGCGAGTTATTGCATTCAGTAGGATGTTTCAGAGCCATTTAGTTCTGTAAATGCAATGTGACAACAATACAGCAATGTGTTGACATTAAAAACATAATGTACTTTTGAATACTTCAGTATTTTTAAAATGTAGTACTGCAGCACTTTAACTCAAGTAAAATTGTGAACAACTGTCACTTGTATTGGAGTAAAATTTCACCAGGAGTATCTATACCTTTGGGCTGTGTACTTTGTCCACCTCTGGACGTTACTCGATAGGACATAAGGTGATGGATCCCTGTACATTACTATATGCATACTGTATTACAAGCTGGATGTGGACAGTGTGTCCTTATACGGCCGGCAGAGCTCCCCATTCTCCTGCATCTGTTACCCTAAGCGATACACCCGCTAACGTCCTGCTACGACTGTTTTCAGGCGTCCCTCCATCAGTACATATTATTTAACTCCACCTAGGACTGTATATTGTTCTTGATCATTGAGTATAATGTCGTAATGGTGGTTTGGGGAGAGTGTTATATTTTCTGAGAAATGCGTTGTTGGGCGAATGTCATGGTGTCCTTACACACACCTAGGCTACAGTATGAATGAATGAAATGAGTGAAAGTGTATATGTATATTATAATATGTACTGTATATATATAAGCAAAAAGAGTACACTCTAAAACAGCGGTAGGCAAGTCTGATCCAGGAGTGCTGGAATCCAGCAGGTTTTCCCATCCTACCTGGTCTCTGACAAACCACATCTGATCTCAGACAGATAGGAATTCATAAGGCAGGACAGAAAAACTGCTGGAAACCGACACTCCGGGATCAGGGCTGCCTATCCCTGCTCTAAAATAACAAATAAAATACTTAATATCATTATCGAGTATTATATACTGTAGATGCTTGTCTGTGCTGTACTTTTATACGACTGGCAACGCAGTGTGCCCTGCGATGAGTTGGCACCCCGTCCTGGGTTGTTCCCTGCCTTGTGCCCATAGGTGTGCATGTGTGAGTGTGCCCTGCGATGAGTTGGCACCCCATCCTGGGTTGTTCCCTGCCTTGTGCCCATAGCTTCCAGGATAGGCTCCGGACCCCAATATTTCACAATATTTATATGTTAAAAATTTTATATTTTTATATTTTGCGAACCATGGAACATACTTGTGGCTTGTTGGGCAGTGATGAGGGGGATTATTTTCACTCACTAACAGTACGGCTTCCCGCATCAGTGCTGTAATACCATCAGAAAGTAGCAGTTTGCCTTACTGAGAGTCTGTGCTTTCACAGCTTAGTGTGAATGGGATGTGCACACACGCACACACACGCACACACACCCACACACACCCACACGCACACACACGCACACACACGCACACACACGCACACACACCCACACACACGCACACACACCCACACACACGCACACACACATATGCCGCGTGCGTCACGGCTTCATGCACTTCTGCAGCCAGTACACCATGGTCCCAGCATGCCGGCATGCATTTAGATGGAAAGGAGGGAGTTTAAAACGGACTCATCCTGTAGCTGAGCCGGCCTGGTTGTGACAGGTGGAGAGATCTCAGCCATGATGAGGGAATCTCGTAAGCAATTGGGAGGATTAGGAGTGGGCAGACAGGAAGGGCTTTAAGTCTCGATGAGCAGCCTTCCTGGTGTTGAAGGCAACAGTCTGCACGTTTAAGTACTGCTAACATCCCGGCTGGCAGACGCCTGGCTGCTAACTCGCTAGCCAATATAGATGCCTGGTGGCTAACTTACTAGCCGGTATAGATGCCTGGTGGCTAACTTACTAGCCGGTATAGATGCCTGGTGGCTAACTTACTAGCCGGTATAGATGCCTGGTGGCTAACTTA